ATTGATCGATTTATTGATTGATTGGTTGAATGATTGATTGATTTATATTTTGGTAGGTAGGATCGTTTAAATAACTTTCCAATTGATATTGTAAGTTGAAAGCACTAGGGTCAGCTGTTTGAATGGCTATTTTATTTACACACACAGGAAAATTGGACAGATGAAATAAATTTCATCAACTTAGTCTTTAGATTGTTAGATTTTGTAAAATAAGGAATCAGTTTGGTTGAATTTTCTAAAGTAGATAAGATGATATTGTTTATAAACGGCCCCGATTAAACCAAAAAATTTTAACTAATTCATTAATTTAGGTTATTAATATTCAATAAAAATTGATTAAATGCTGACGAGTATTTCAACTGATTGATGTTATTTACAGTTTAAAAATTAATTAAATTAAGTGATTGACAATTAATGTTTTAATTACTCAACTCGTAATTTATTCAATTAAATAATTAAATATTAGCGTTAATAGAGTGAAAGTAGCTTCAAATGTATTTCCATATATCAATTACATTTGATTATACCTTGACGTTTTTTTTAAGATAAGTAATTAACCAAATAATTAATTAATTTTTCAAGTCATAATTTAGCTGAAAATAAAATTAATTGAATAATTAATTAATTAATTAAATTAGTTAATTAATTATACAATTGATTTTTCACAGTAGATTGGAGATCCGTCGTAAGAAATAGAAGCTGTCTGACACGACGGATTGGTGCACAAGGCACATCAAAGTATCGTGACTCTTTCTTTTTTCACTTTCTCTTCCACACGAAGGCATACATACAATGCATGCATGCATACACACACACACACGTACACACACACACACACACAAACACACCTATATACGCACACATAAAGACGCATATACATACACACATTTACATACATACATATATACGCACAAACAAACATATATACATACATACATACAAACGTACATACATACATACATACAAACGTACATACATACATACAGGTAGAATTTTGCACCTGCATTATCGTACGTACCAGGAAAAGGAAGTTGCTATGGTCGGAAAGCTTAATGTATAATGTATATATATATATATATATATATATATATATATATCGTTAAATATCGTTAAATATTTTTGCCCATTTTGCTTTAATTGAATTTTTAATAAGGATTTCGACAACACGAAACTGTTTTAATTCATATTTATTATCATTATGTGTCATCCTAGGCTTACAACGTTGTTTCGACATACAGTCATCATCAGAGCCTGGTTTTACAAAATATCAAAAATTGAATTATAATTTAAACATTAAAATCAAGAAATTTAATGAAAAGTACAAGAAATGAAATTATGACGTTGTAATTAGAAAATTAGAAATATGAAAATGTAAAATATGAAAAAATTTTACCTTGTAATAATAAAATGTTGCAATAAAACAATAAACGGTTTTAAACGAATGAAATTAAAACCAAATTATAAAAATAAGTAAATAAAATTGTGTAGAAACGTATAATAAAACAATTCAGTTAGACGGGAAAAACAAGTGTTTCTTGGCGGGATGATATTAAAAGTGAAAGTCAGTAAGATGATATAAAAAAGGTGAATGTAGAAATTAAAATTTATTATTATAATTATTAATTAATTACATTAATAATTTAATTTAATCATATAGTGTTATATACTGTTATATAGATTTATGTATAGTTATGTAGAGTTATTGTTTATATATAGTTATATAGTGATATATACGGTTATATAGATTTATATAGTTATGTAGAGTTATTGAATATATATAGTCAAATAGTGTAAGATACGGTTATATAGATTTATATATAGTTATGTAGAGTTATTGAATATATAAAGTCATCTAGTGTTATATAGGGTTATAAAGATTTATATATAGTTATGTAGAGTTAGTGATTATATAAAGTTATATAGTGATATATACGGTTATATAGATTTATAAATAGTTATATAGTGTTATTGATTATATATAGTTATATAGTGATATATACGGTCATATAGATTTATATATAGTTATGTAGAGTTATTGATTATATATAGTCATATAGTGATATATACGGTTTATATAGATTTATATAGAGTTATATAGTGTTATTGATTATATATAGTTATATAGTGATATATACGGTCATATAGATTTATATATAGTTATGTAGAGTTATTGATTATATATAGTCATATAGTGATATATACGGTTTATATAGATTTATATAGAGTTATATAGTGTTATTGATTATATATAGTTATATAGTGATATATATGTTTATAAAAGATGATGAAAATATGTTGTAAATGAAAGCAACATATTCGATGATGACAACGTTGACATACTCTGCGTGGAATTAGAATTGCATCAAGCCTCACTACATAACATGATAATTGTTATCTATCGACCACCTAGTTATAAATATGAGTCTTTTTTAGAAAAAATTGAATCGATACTAAATAGTCTAAATCCACTTGATAAAATTTTCGTTGTCGGAGATTTTAACATTAATCTAATGGATAAAACCTCCAAAGATTTTCAAAATTTACTATCGTCGCATTACTTCTTACCTTTGATTGATTTACCAACTAGGATTACTAATAACTCAATTTCACTAATAGATAATATATTTTTTAACTTAAATCAACAATGTTATAATGGAATAATAATATCAAACTTTTCATATCATTATCCAATTTATACAGTTGTAGAAAACACAGGATTTGTCACTACAGATACTCTGACTTTGAAAAGGAACATAAATAAGAGAAACATCTCCCTAATTAAGAAAGCTCTATCTTCTGAAAAATGGGATTCAATAACGGATGAGAGTAACATTGACACCTGTTGCATGAATTTTTATAATCAATTAAATAGAATTCTTGATATTTACGCCCCATTGCAACAGCTGAAACGGAAAAATAAAAAGCCATGGGTAAGTGATGAAATAATTAAATTATCAAAGAAACAGAATAAACTCTATACAAAAACAATTTCAACACCTAATTTAGAGAATATAAATAAATATAAGCGATTCAGAAATTATTTTACATCATTTAAACGAAAGGAAGAAAAAAATTACTTTAGTCAAAGATATAATGATGCAAAAAGCTGTTTAAAGAAAAAGTGGGAGATAATAAATGGTATAATGAATAAAAATCAACAGTTGAATGATATCAATAAAATAAAAGTCAACAATAACATAATCGATAATGCAGAAGAAATGTGTAACTGTTTCAATGAATATTTTATTAAAATTACTGAAAATCTGCTTGAAAATCAAACAGTTAATGAATCTTCAAAAATAAACAACTACATTTGTAAATCCATAAACATTAACTCCACTGATGAACTTGAGGTATTAACAGTCGTCAAGAATCTTAGCAATAAAAAAAGCACCTCTGATGACTCACTAAGTAATTATCTCTTAAAACAAATCATCTCAGAAATTTTACATCCAATAACACATATATTCAATTTGTCCATCAGTCAAGGAATATTCCCAAAATGCTTCAAAACATCCAAGATAATACCTATTCATAAAAAAAGGATCCAAGATGGAAATGAGCAATTACAGGCCAATATCCTTTCTCTCGCCTATTTCTAAAGTACTGGAAAAATTTATATTTATCAGAATGACTTCATTCTTGAATATTAATAATTTATTAAATAAAAATCAATATGGATATAAAGCACAACATTCAACTGAACTAGCAGTACTACATTTAGTACAAAACATATTAAATAATTTGAATACAAAATTCCTAACCATAGGTGTTTTTATAGACCTGTCCAAGGCATTTGATGTTATTAATCATGAGATATTAATAAAGAAATTATACTCGTATGGAATAAGAGGAATAGCACATACATGGTTCATAAGCTATCTGCAAAACAGAAATCAGTATGTGTCGATAAAAAATAAATCTTCAAATAAATTAAATATAACTTCAGGAGTCCCGCAAGGATCAATCTTAGGCCCATTTCTATTTATAATTTTTATGAATGATTTTCATCTGGCTACTGACACTCATCATCTTCTGTATGCAGATGATACTAACATTTTCTTCCCAACTAGCAATCCATCAAACGATGTAGAGATAATTAATAAAAGTTTAGATGATGTTTCAAATTGGTTCATCAATAATAAACTAATTGTAAATTTTTCTAAATGCAACTACATTCTATTCGGTCTAAAAATATTGACTAACACAATACCTAATTTAGATATAAAAATGAATAACCATAGCATCCCGCGTACATCCAGCACAAAATTTCTCGGAGTGATAATCAAGGACAACCGCCCGTGGAATATGCATATAGACTCGTTATCGAAAAAAATTAATAAAACCATAGGCGTAATTAATAAAATTAAAGTAAGATTGAATAAACCAATAATTATAGATTTGTATTATTCGTTGATCTATCCACATCTAATATACTGCAACATCATCTGGGGAAACAGCCCTGAAGTTCACTTGAAGCAAATTACCAGATGTCAAAATCGTTTCATCAAAATTCTATTAAATCTACATCCATATAGTCATGTCAGCTGTTATTATTCTGAATTGAAAATTTTAAACATAAAATATATATATAATTATCATGTTTCTATCTTTGTGTTCAAGTTCCTACATTATCAATTACCAACATCTTTTAATGACTTCTTCGAATTCGGAAATGCTGTGCAGTCAAAGTTCAATCGACATTCTCCTCTGCTCTATACACCACCTGCAAGAATAACACTGCTTGGTGGAAGTTTAAAACATACCGGTCCCGGAATCTGGGAGAAACTTCCTGTTGATATAAAGACTACAAATTCCTTGCATTTGTTTGAAAACAAAATAAAGAAATATTTATTGAAAAAAAGTACAATTTTTATTTAATTAGAATCATGTAAATTGTGCATTATGTTAATTTTGTCATGAATTATAAATTTACTTCAAAATTGTGTTAGGATGAACAATTTGTGAACGGTGGCCTGCGACACAAGAATTTTGTTTTCTTTTAGCTTTGGTCTACTAATCATTACCTAATTAATTTGGATTGACTGAATAAAATTTGATTTGATTTGATAACGAGCAAAATTTAAAAAAAAAGCGCTCATAAATCTCTGCATATTGGCTCAGCTTGGCTTGACTCGGCTTGGAATCCGATGTTAAGCAAGGTGTAGTCTTAAACTATTTTGAATTCTCCTCGAAAAATGTGAACTGCGTGCGTACATATATAGCAATGATTACTTTTGTTTTTATAATGAATTTATAAAATATATAATTATAGTGAGCAAAATTTTAACATAAAAGGGCTTATAAATCTTTGCAAATTGGCTCAGTATATATCACTATATAACTATATATAATCAATTACTCTACATAACAATATATAAATCTATATAACCGTAAATATCACTATATAACTATATATAATCAATAACTCTACATAACTATATACAAGTCATTATAACCGTATATATCACTATATAACTATATATAATCAATAACACTATATAACTATATATAAATCTATATAACCGTATATACCACTAAATAACTTTATATAATCAATAACTCGACATAACTATATATAAGTCTATATAACCGTTTATATCACTATATAAATATATATAATCAATAACTCTACAGAACTTTTTATAAATCTATATAACCGCATATATCACTATATAACTATACATAATCAATAACACTATATAACTATATAGAAATCTATATAAACGTATATATCATTATAAAACTATATATAATCAATAACACTATATAACCTTATATAAATCTATATAACCGTATATAACAATATATAACTATATATAATCAATAACTCTACACAACTATATATAAATCCATATAACCGTATATATCACTATATGACTATATATAATCAATAACTCTACATGACTATATATATATATATATATATATATCTATATATAATCAATAATACAATATAACTCTATAGAAATCTATATAACCGTAAATAAATAACTATATTACTATATATGAACAATAACACTATATAACTATATATAAATCTATATAACCATATATATCACTATATAACTATATATAATCATTAACACTATATAATTATATATAAATCTATATAACCGTATATATAACTATATGACTACATATAAATAGTAACTTCACATAACTATATATAAATCTATATAAACGTATATATCACTATATGACTATATATAATCAATAACTCTACATATTTATATATAAACCTTTATAACCGTTTATATCACTATATAATGTATATAATAAATTACTCTACATAACTATATTTAAATCTATATAACCGTATATATTACTATATTACTACATATAAACAATAACACTATGAAACTATATATAAGTCTATATAACCATTTATATTACTATATAACTATATACAATCAATAACTCTTCATAACTTCAAATTTCAACTTAAAAGCGCTTATAAATCTATGTTTATTGGCTCAGCTTGGCTTGGCTCGGCTTGGAATCGGATGTTGAGCAATGTGTAGTCTTAAACTATTTTGAATTCTCCCAGAAAATTGTGAGCTGCGTGCGTACATATATAGCAAGGATTACTGTTGTTTTTATAATGAATTTTTAAAATATATAAATATAACGCGCAATCTATATAACCGTATAAAACACTATAAAACTATGTATAATCAATATCTCTACACAACTATATATGAGTTTATATAACCATATATAAAAATATCACTATATTACTATATATAAACAATAACACTATATAACTATTAGGGTGTTCCCAAAATATGAAGTTTTAAAATAATGATGTCTCACCCCCTTAAATATGTCTTTATGGTAACAATAGTTTACCTGCCAAATTTTAGCCCATTTGGACAATGTTTAGAGGTCCCCCAAGGGGTTGAAATTTCCGATTTTGGTGTTTGATCGTTCGCTACCAACTTTTGATACAGTGTTATACGATATGATTATAAATGTTTTTTGATTTTGTTTATAGGAATGAAACAAAATATATAATTGTGAAAAAATATATAAATCTGCAATGCCTTTTATTTTTTAATTTTAAAAATTAGGTCAAAAATGATTGAAAAACAAGATTTTATTAAATTTCAGTTTGCTTGAATATTAATAAATGCAAATAATTCAAATTTTAGCTAGCAGTTCACGATTATATTCTGCAAAGTTTTTCCTATGCTGTTCAACTACTTGAAGCAAAAATTGTTTTTGCTCTGCGTCTTTGGTGTTGGTTTCATTGAAATGTTGTACCAACGCTACTCCCCGTTCTGCAGAGTCATTGATGCAAACCAGATTCCTTACAAACACTGCTGTAACTTGAAAAGAAGGAGTATCTGACCAGTTTTCAACAAGTACATCAAGAAAACTGGCATCAATATTGGCTGTTTCAAAAAATGTTTTAGACGCACGCAAATCGTCAATACTTTGTGGTGTATTTTCATCAGATGTGGGCCTCGATCTTGTTGTATTGTGCGGACAAGATCAGTCTTTTCTTTGTCAGACAGGAGAGATGAAAAAAGAGCAAGAGTTGCCAATTCTGGACTCATGTACCAAGAATGACGCAGCATCATTTTTAATCCAGTCGAACCAAGAACTGCATCGTCGTAGTCATGCAAACGCTGTATCAACAAAATATCATTCACAGGTGCATCAGCAGTGAGCCTGCATGAAAACTATGACTGAAGATAAACACAAATGATAAACCGATTCAAATGTTGAATACCTTGTAATTCTCGAGCTGTTAAGTTAAAAATGGTTTTATTTACGGTGAATAATAGTTCAACTTTTAATGCGTAGATGGCTCTTGCCATCCATCGTGCCATGTGCAGTGCACCAGGTTTGCGAATGGCTACAACAACCTGCAGCCCAACTATTTGTGCAGCAAGAAGTAGAAACTCTAAATAGTCATCTCGTGAATGTCTGACCTCAAGTTGACATTTGATGAATGCTTTTATTGCATCTGAAACAATTATCAAAGGGGTTGATCTGGCTTCTGGTGTGTGATTCATTTCTGTCAATTTTTCACGAAACCTTTTGAAAAATAAAATTTCTGGTCCAGTGGATGGTCCAAGACAAACATTGAATACATCGGCAAGCAGCACTTCAAAGATATGATGACGGCAAGCCATCCATAATAAATTACGTCCCATGGCTTTTTCTAGAAGAGTGCAAGCTCCATTGATTTTTCCAGTATTGGAAGCTGTCGTGTCAAAGCACATGCCAATAACCATTGATTCACACTTCCAAGATTTTATATGTTCATGAACTGCATCAGCAACTGCTCGTCCTGAACAAGATGCTAACTTTGAAACTCCAAGAAGTTTTGTAGTGCCATCGACAAGTGATGAGAGCAGGACAGGTAACCGATCTACGTTGACCACACCAGTAACATCGATCAAAAGTTTCCCATCCCAATGAACAATAGATTTTGAGGGAACATAATTTTCTTTTATAAGAGCTGCAGCTTGTTGACGACGGCGCTGGCGATGTCTATGCATTGTACTCTTGGAAAATATTGACTCTGATATCGGAACACCAGCTTCGTTGAATGCCGATGCAAGAATCATACTTGACTTTCTAATGCTAGTATTTGTCCTATCCAGCACAGCTGCAACTTTGAGAGATATAATGTCTCTGCGATGTCTGCGTTGTGTTGTAGAGTTTGTTTTACTTGAGCATGCTGATTGTACAAGAAATTCTTCATCAGATTTAACATCTTCATTAGAATCATGGCAAACGGATGATGTTGTTGAATGTGTTGCACTGCCCAGTTGTTGGTCTGCAGCTGACTCTGCTGTTGATAATAACCCACTCCGTCCACGGTAAACAATTTTTGATACAGCATCTTTTGCTGCATTATCGACATTTCTGATAAATCGTTTTTGACGTTTAGCAACTCGTTTTTTTTTAACCATAAGTTTTTTGTCCACAGACCCAATTGATCCCGTTCTTGATTGTTGTTGTAATTTCAAAAATTGTCTGTCTTTGTCATTTTTTATTAACTGTTCAGAGTTGGCATGGCTGATGTCAAAAAGTTGACTCAACTTATTTATGTATTGTTTTTGGTTCATTTGATCAGTAGAGTTATTTCTCTTACGATGCTTCATCAAACGAACTTGGTCAGCATACAGATCTTTAATTTTCTGTATTATGTGAGGTTTTTGTCGTACAGGCAGTCTTGATTTCACCCAAAATGGGAGCAGTTGCTCGTGCACTTGTTGTGCAGCTTTATTAATGTTTAGCTTCTGTACACGGTGATAGAATACAAAATTTTTCATGACATCTTGGCCTGAAGGGAGGCGAGCACCTGAGATAGTTTCTTTTGGAAAGCCAATAAGCCATATGTTGTTATTGCTTCTGGTTACTGTAGACTTAGCCATACCCTCAAAAAATAAAACAAGTACCAATGACAGTATAAGTGTTATTAAGTATAAGTAGTTTGATATTGTATTTAAATATTTAAATATATTTAGAGATATATGGAGAATACAATTAAAAATGATTACATAATTGTTATATTATTAGTACAATAATTAACAAACTTACAAATTGTTGCTGTATTTCTTGATTTTTTCACTAAATTATATACAATAAAAAATGAGCAAATTGTGTTTACTAAAAATAAAAAAATACAAAATGGCCACTTGGTCATGTGACATAAGCACTGCAGCAAAGAATAATAAATAAAAGTAAGTAAAAATTTGCAGTTCTAGCTTTATTTAACTCATTTTGTGCATATTGTTTAAGATTATTGATATGGATTTTGAATTGACTCGATAGTAAAATTTTAAAAGCTCTTGGGGGACCTCTCAAAGTTGTTCAAGTGAGCTGTAACTTCACCAATTTAATTATTGTAACCAAGAGACACTTTTCAGAGGGTGAGATATCAACTATTTAAAAAAAAAATTCCGTGCATTTCTAGGACACCCTAATAACTATATATTAATCTATATAACCAAATATATCACAATATAACTATATAGAATCAATAACTCTCCATAACGTCAAATTTAAACTTGAAAGCGCTTATAAATCTATGCTTATTGGCTCAGCTTGGCTTGGCTCGACTTGGAATTCGATGTTATGCAAGGTGTGGTCTCAAACTATTTTGAGTTATCCGCAAAAAATTTTAACAGCGTGCGAACATATATAGCAATGATTACTGTCGTTTTTATAATGAATTTATAAATCATATAAATATAACGAGCAAAATTTTAACATAAAAGCGCTTATAAATCTTTGCAAATTGGCTCAGTATATATCACTATATAACTATATATAATCAATAATTCTACATAACTATATATGAATCTATATAACCGTATAAATCACGATATAACTTTTTATAATCAATAACTCTATATAAATTTATATAAGTCTATATAAACGTAAATATCACTATATAATTATATATAATCAAGAACTCTACGAAACTATATATAAATTTATATAACCGTATATATCACCATAAAACAATATATAATCAATAACACTATATAACTATATATAAATCAATATAACCGTATATACCATAATTTGACTATATATATTCAATAACACTATATAACTATATATAAATCTATATAACCGTATATATCACTGTATGACTATATATAATTAATAACTCTACATAACTATATATAAATCTTTATAACCATATATATCACTAAATAAATATTTATAATCAATAACTCTACATAACAATATATAAATCTATATAACCTATATATCACTATATAACTATATAAAATCAATAACACTATATAACTAAATAGAAATCTATATAACCGTATATAACCGTATATATCACTGTATAACTATATATAATCAATAACACTTTATATCCTCATATAAATCTATATAACCGTATATAACTCTATGAAACTATATAAAATCAATAACTCTACACAACAAAATATAAGTTTATATAAACATATAAATCACTATATCACAATATATGAACAATAACACTATATAACTATATAAATATTTAAATAAAGTGAGCAAAATTTTAACATAAAAGCGCTTATAAATCTATGCATAGTTCGGCTTGGAATCGAATGTCAAGCAAGGTGTGGTCTCAAATCATTTTGAACTATCCGCGAAAAATTAGAACTGCGTGCGGACATATATAGCAATGATTACAGTTGTTTTTATAATGAATTTATAAAATATACAAATTTAACGAGCAAAATTTTATCTTAATAGCGCTCATAAATCTATGCATATTGGCTCAGGTTGGCTTGACTCAGCTTGGAATCGGATGTTAAGCAAGGTGTTAAAATATTTTGAATTCTCCCCAAAAAATATGAACTGCGTGCGTACATTTATAGCAATGATTACTGTTGTTTTTATAATGAATTTATAAAAAATATAAAAATAACTAGCAAAATTTTAACATAAAAGCGCTTATAAATCTTTGAAAATTGGCTCAGTTTATATCACTTTATAACTCTATATAAACAATAAATCTATATAACTTTATATAAATCTATATAACCATATATATAACTTTATATAATCAATTACTCTAGATCAAATCTATAAATCTATATAACCGTATATATCACTATATGACTATATATTACCAATAACTCTACATAACTATATATAAATCTATAAAACCGTATATTTCCTTTTATGACTATATAATCAATAACTCTACATAACTTTATATAAATCTATGATACCTTATATATCACTATATAACTATAGATAATCAATAACTCTACATTATTATATATAAATTTATATAACCGTAAATATGACTATATAACTATATATAATCAATAACTCTACATAACTATATATAAATCTTTATAACCCTATTTAACACTATATAACTATATGTAATCTATAAATCTACATAACTATATATAAGTCTATAAAACCATATATATCGCTATATAACCATATATATCACTATTTAACTATATATAATCAAAACGCTATATAATTATATATAAATCTTTATAACTATATCACTATATGACTGCATATAACCAATAACCCTACATAACTATATATTAATTCATATAACCATATATATTACTATATGACTATATATAATCAATAACTCTACATAGCTATATAGAAATCTTTATAACCGTATATATCACTATATATCTATATATAATCTATAACACTATATAACTATATAGAAATTTATATAACCGTATATATCACTATATAACTATAAATAATCAATAACACTATATAACCTTATATAAATCTATATAACCGTTTATAACACTATATAACTATATATAATCAATAACTCTACACAACTATATATAAGTTTATATAACCATATATTTATTTATTTTTTTTTTTTTTATTTCAAAAATTTATAAAGCGCCAATTAAAAATAAGAAAAAATTTAAAAAGCGCTACTTTATTGTCGAAAGAATAAACAATTGTTTGAGTACGTGTACATAATAACGAAACAAAAATCAAATCGAAAACAAATAAGTCTTGAGATTTCTCTTGAAATTATCCATGTTCATTTTCGGCTTCTTCAGGGACTCTGGTAGACCATTCCATAACTCTGGACCCGCAACAGCAATCCCTCGTGCACCAATACACAAGTGAGCACTGTTTACTATCATTAAATTTGAGCAATCACTTCTCAAACGAATGCCATCTATGGTCAGTGATTTTTTCTTGTTTATTTCTCACAAATATCTGGGCAAGATTCCATTCATGGTTTTATACATCAAGATACACATTTTAAAAATTATCCGTTTTTCCACATTCAGCCAATGAAGATCTTTTAAAGTCTGACTCACATGATCGAACTTCAATCCTCCAACGATAACCTTCGCAGCTCTATTCTGTATGGATTGCAGTACTTTAATTGATTTTTTTGGGAGGCCATGAAACAAACTATTACAATAGTCAAGCCGCGAGTGAATGAAGGCATGAATCAATGTCTGTGTGGCTGATCTATCTAAATAGCTTCGAATGCGATATAATCTGTGCAACTGATATGTACATGACGAAGAGAGCATTTTCAAGTGATGTTTCATCGATAGATTTGAATCCAAGACAAAGCCCAAATTTGTTACGTTTTCACTGAATTCTATCTCTTGACCACCGTCATTTACCGAGCTGATGTTAATTTTCGCTAACTGCTGCCGAGTTGCCACCGGCATAAACTTAGATTTGCATTGATTCAATTTTAATCCATTGTTTGACATCCAGGTATCAACCTCAGATAGGCACATTACCAGCCTTAGAACCTCCTGTTTAAATGATTCTGGTTTACTCGTCAACATAACCTGGATATCATCGGCATATGCATAACACTTAAAATCATAAGATTCAATAATCTTCATAACTTCCGAAGTATACAGCATAAACAGAATCGGTCCCAATACTGAACCCTGCGGAACTCCATATGAAATTGAACCAACTTTGGATGAAACATCACCAAATCGAACAACCTGCGTTCGTCCGACCAAATATGATTTAAACCATTCAATTGTTACTCCAGTTATTCCAAAATCATTACTTAGTCTATCTAATAAAATTTGGTGATCCACGCAATCAAATGCAGCACTCATATCCAAAAAGGTTAAAAGCGATACATTCTGGCGATCAATGGAGGCATAGAGGTCAGACAAAATCTTTAGCAACGCAGTTTCTGTGCTATGATGACGCCTATAGCCAGATTGATTAATGGGCATCAGATTGTGCAGTTCTAAATACGTTAAAAGTTGCTTAGCTACCACACGTTCAATAATCTTTGAAAGGAAACACAAATTTGATATCGGACGATAATTTTTTAAATCTTCTTTATTGTCTTTAGTATTTTTTAATAGAGGAGTCACAACGGAATGTTTACAATATGATGGAAAGATACCAAGTTTTAAACTTGGTATCTTTGAACTTGAACAAATCAACATATTTCTTCAAGACATGCGTCGGAATAATATCTAACATGCATGTTTTCTTTGGTGATTTAAGTAAAAGTGTTTTAATTTCAGACTCTGAAACTTCAGCAAAACATGTGAACAAATTATCTTCATTAATTCAACTAACTCCAAATGCCTGCTTCGTTAAATATCCAAATGTTGCTTTAATCGAATTAATTTTCTCTTGAAAAAAAATCAAAAATTGGTCCGATGTCAAATCATGTGAAACATTACATTTATTATCTTTACACACGATCTTGTTGAATATTTTTCACAGATTTTTAGAGTTGTTATTTTTCTTTATTATTTTGTTCCAATACTGTTTACGTTTTTTAGTAAAAAGTTCTTTTTTTGCTCTTAGAATATTACGCAATTCATTTTTATATATCAAATAATAATTTGATCTATATCTTCTTTCCAACTTTCGGCAACGCCGTTTGATTGCTAGACACTCCTCATCAAAC